AACTTCTATTTTGAATGTTCAATTTGCTTTGCTGTACACTTCTTATTGGTTCCGATGTGAGTAAATGTTCAAAGGATATTTATGGCTTTCACACACATAACTATATGTTTATGCCTATATATATATATATAAATGAATGAAAATCCGCAACAATATTTAAAAAATTTGATGATCAACGTGATTTTTACATCAAACTGATTAGATTTTTTTTTTGTTTTTTTTTTTTTGGCCGCTAGAAGTTTCATGGCCTCTATAATTTATTTGCTTTTGACATAACCAACTGTTTCTAAAAAGAAGTTTTGTCGAATGCGACCATAAAAGTAAGCTTTGGTTGTGGATAAAGATGAGATCTCCAAATGTGACTTGCATGTTAGAAGCATAATTAATCAGTAAATTTGATTTCATTTTTAAAAATTTTTTTGCGGAAACGGACAAGAACATGAGAGACACATGGAATGCCAAATCTTGAGAGCAAAATACTTCTATATCCCAAAAAGAATAAAAAGAGTACTTGTATATGAATAATGTATTCCAGCAAAAACAATAGTATTTGAATTCCTGCAAAAAGAGTACTTCTATATGAAACCCGTCATTGTATGTATGGAACGTTTGTTTCGACCAAAACCGCTGTGCACGTAATAATATTTACTTTCCAGCAATGAGTGCCAATCTTGGGAATAAGTTCTTATCTAAAATAAAACAGAAGTAGAGGGGAGCAAAGAGTTTATAATTGGAGGATACATTTTTAAATTAATAAGGAGCATGAAAATTGAACAATATTATTAAAGTCTTCAGATCGAATATCAACTCTTAGACCTCGTTTATTTCACTAATTCGAGTTTTCAATTTTAGTTTTACTACAGTTAAAAGTTCTCATAAAATATCACATTTTAATATTTTGTTATAGTGAAAAGCTCTAATATAAAATCACATCTCAGCTCGAATTAAAAATTTGAATCCGCGAACTGAACGAGGCCTTAATAACTCATCAATTCAATACATTCAGTTGTTCTGTATGGATTTTACGGGTTTTTACACTGCGTACTCTTCAATATTCAAAGCAGAAAAATCCTCTTTCGATGTAGCAATTGGAAGAATTAAAGCCAACTTCATAAGAATATAAATACTTCGTTAATGAAGAATGGGGTTCTAATTTTCGTTTAAAATATTTCTATCCTGTTTGAAAAATGACCCATGTGAAGTAACAAACAATTGGGACTTATTTATTAATGTAATTGACTACGATTTAATTAGTTTTTAAATTGGATTTGATGAGGACATACGTGTATAATTTCTATATGAAAAGGAACAAATATGTTTTTCAAAAGGAATGCAGACAAATAAAAGATTAAAAACCCAGGCCTATCACCAATTTGAGAATTGTATCTTACAGGTCGTCATACTCTAGCACAAAGTTCTCTCTTGCTGATATAGAAATAGAGAAATTATCTGTTTACTGGTATAAGGAGAAATTACCTAATTCATTCTTGGTTCATTAGAATTTTTAGTGTTATTTTATCAAACACGACCTTAAGTCATTTTTAAGTCAATTACTTTTCATCAAACGTCTTAAAATCTTTATATTTGGACATTTAAGATATATACTACATATCAATGTTTGTACCATGAGAAAAAAGTTCTCGTGGAGAATGTCATGCCACAATATTTAAAATACTAAAAATACATCTAATGATACCATACAAAACAGAAGATTAGAATATGGTGAGTGCAATTTTTTTTTTATTTTTTATTTTTTTGAGGCAAAAGTCAATCAACTAAGTTAAGTGGCATTCTCTACCTCCCAAGCTAAACATCCAACCCGTCGCGTCCAAGCCCAAATTGAGCGACTAACCCTACCTAACAGAGTCCAAGCCTAAATTCAGCTACGAACCCAACCCAACCCAACTATAAGACTCCCATGGTCCGCAGTCCAGGTGAGATCCAGGCTCTTTATACATATTGCAATTTTTTTTTTAATGAACATATAGCAAAATTTAAATAGTATATTAAAATATAACAAAATTTTAAAAATATTATAAACATATAAAATTTAATATTATTTATATCATTATATAGTACAAAATGTGATATCATTATTATCATAGTTATGCCATTTCTTTTTTTACTATGACCTCGTTTAATTTGTTGATTTGAATTTTTAATTTGAGTTGAGATGTGATTTTATATGAGAGTTTTTTATTGTAGCATAAAAAGTTAAATGTGACTTTTTGTGAGAGCTTTTAACTGTATCAAAATTGAAATTGAAAACTATAATCAGTGAAATTAACGATCTTATAAGCCACTTATAATACTTTGATAATTTTACTGAATTTCAACTCAAGTCATGTAGTGTAACTATCTCCTTGTAGGTCTCACACCACTTTCATAAGCCACTTATTCATCCTTAACCAAATGTATTAAAAAGTCATAAATAAATAACGTTTACATAGATTTAGTTTGGTAGTGCTATAGATTTTAGAAAAATTGCTTTTAGTTGTGCTAAAAGAAGAAGCAGTTATTACAAAAAGTAACTGGGTGTTTGGTAAACTATAATTATAATAGCTGTATTGGTTCTAAAATTAGTGTAATAGTATTTGATAAATTATGAGATTAAATTGTTGTATATAGTTAAAAATTATGACTATATTATATTATACTATAAAATAATATATATATATATAATTACAATATAATATATATTTATTATTATATTTAATATAATATATAT